ACATTAACATTGAAAATCCTGTTTACATGATTTTACCTCCTTGATTTGGCAGTCAAAAGGTCTATCATGCTTTGAGGTAATTTAAAAAAGAATGATATATTATTTATGTATACTTTGTAATTGTTTTTTATTATACAGTTATAAATATAATTATAGTGAACAAATTCTTCTGTGCTGAACTCGTCCTACTTTCTGCAACAGATTTTTGTTCAAACTTTCACAGAAAAGCTTTGGGTCATAAGCACGCCTGGCACATATTGTCGGGGTTTTGTGATTTTAGTTTTTGAACCTAATTATGGCCCTTTTGTTTTTTTTCCTTATAATAATTTATAGTGAACACTTCTTTCAGTGGCAATTCCTCCTACATTATTCATGTTTTTACATTGCACATAGTTACATTTGTTGTTTTTGGGTTGTATTTGTAATTTGCAAATACAACATATTTATTACAATGGTGATAATTGAAAACGCTGGGTTTTCAAATGGCATTGCCATGTTTCTTGTTATGTCTTGTTTTGCGTTATAACGCGAATAAAGGCGTAAATTTATGCTTTTGATTAAGCGTTAAAACATCTTTATTCGCGTTATTAACGGCAGTTGAAGGTGTGAAACGTCCATTTTGTTATTTTACACGTACACGTAATGTCCTATTTACAACTGAATATAATACAGAAATATGAAAATGTAGGTTTTTCCAAACATGTTTGTTTTTTGTCAAGTGATTATGTACATGAGAATTTTTTAACATGAGTGCTTCAATATTAGAACGAGATGTGTTTATTGTACAACTTTTAAGGGTGTAGGTTTGATATTTCAATCTAAGTTTATGTAATAATATATACGTTATTGTCATCAATAATAAAAAAAAAAATTCTGTAAATTTTGGTAACTCCCAGAGCATGTACTGATCATATTTTAATATCAAACATTTAAAAACAAATTTTGATTATTTGCTGAGTTTCAAGAATGTAACTGTTTTTTAAAATTAAGATAATATATATTAACTTTATATAAAAAAATCTATGTTGTGGACATTTATATTAAACAGTCTGTATGCAAAAATATGGGTGAAATGTAAAAAGTATTGGTAAACTTAATTACTTCCAAAATAAAAGTAATAAAAATACCGCATGAGCTGAAAGTACTGGTACTGGTATTAAAGGAGTATACTGTAATAGTACTAATGTTTTTTCCGTATTGTGTAAAAATGGTAGTTTGCCATTATAGGTACTATTGCAAACCGTTTGTCCATTATATCATTGTAAATAGTTTGCTATAAAAATACCGTATATATCGACAAGGCAGGAGTCTGATTAACTTGATTCTGCAATGTCCAGTCTACCATCGACAGCACAGCGTCAGGTCCGCTTGTTCCTTTACCATCTAGACCTATCGTTTGACCTTCGTCAATCAGGAAGTTGAGTTGTTGTACGATATCATCCAGTCTTACTCCGAGTATCTTACACAGGGTTAAAAAGTATATTGGGACCATCTGGCGAGAAAATTGAGGCAAACTGACGTTCTGTCTGAATGTACAAACTTTTCTTCAGTGTCTCGTGTGGCAACACTACGGCGTATACCCTCATTATCTATGAAATAACAAAAATAGATCCATAGTTAAACGCAAATTAAAGTGACATTTTGCCTTTTCAAGTATAAATAGTGGGTGAAAATGTCGTAGGGCGAATTGTAAAATAAAAGAGTTATGTGTTTGAGTTGATAAATAAATTAAATAGATAAATAATTGAATACATCATGCGTGTTGTTTTTATTTTTTATTCCCCTTATTATTACGATTGTCAAAACAGTCCTATAAACCTTTCCTGTATACCTATACAGTAGCCGAATTATCTTTTCCAATCTATACTTTTTCTTTCTTCATAACCTATTACATAATAATAAGTCGCTTTCTATCTAACCTGTGACCCGTTTACATTGTACACGAATGCAATGCTTCATTGCATTCACCATTAACAGTTTATTATATATAGACGTACATTGTAAACTTTTCAATAAATATTGTTATATATCTTTGATATATCTTTTTACTTCACAGGTTAGTGATACATTTTTGTTGTGCATTTCACTCTAGTAATAAGTATAAGTAATTTGTATTAAACTCTGATCTTAATAAGTATTTTAAAGCTCAACTTGGTAAAAGGAATCGTTCATGTTATCATTTCATATTTTGTATACATGTACTTTGTTATTATATTGATTCATTTGCATTCACCATTAACAGTTTATTATATATAGACGTACATTGTAAACTTTTCAATAAATATTGTTATATATCTTTGATATATCTTTTTACTTCACAGTTTCCAATCCATTCCAAAGGACCCATGATTGTCCATCAATTATTATAAATGTTGTTTTCGCGGACCAGCTTATCAGCTGCGGCAGATTATATATATCTCTACCGACTGAGTGAACCCGTGACAACTGGCGCCCAGTACAGGATTTGGAATTAGGATTGGACATTGTTTTATATTAATTGTATTATATATACATGGATATTTTAAATTCAGTTTGAATACACACCATGTGACGTCAGAGCGTTTTACGTTTTCTATTGGATATTTTATCCGTTTGACTTGGTCAATCGTGTATTTGTTTACACGTATCTGATCTATTTTTGGATTTACACGTGCTATGGTACCTACTCCTGAGCTGTCATTTGAGATCTCCGACGTTGGATTCTGTAAACATAGGCCTATGGAACTACTTATCATCACCACCAGGAAGGATTACCATCGATAACCAGGATTTCCTATGGATATTTCTGACACTGTGTTTATTATTGTGTTTTAAGTTTTGTGCATAAGTGTGTATACATGTGATTAAGTGTTTGTTTATATGTGGATTTAGGATATAGAAAGTAAGTGTATTTTCTTGAGGTTTTTGATATTTTAAATTTTTGAGTAACTTTTTATTAAGTAACTTATATATATTCAGAAAATTAATAAGTAAATTGTTGGTATTGGCTAAGATATTTTTGATAGCCAAATTTCATTAGTCTTAAGTCATAATTTTGTTTTATAAATTTACGTTAACAAGTCAGGATATTCCATCTTTTTCCCTCGTATATTGCAGTAATATAATTCTCTATTAGGAGGCCACAAGAAAAATTTTCTCTTCTCCCCTCGTTATTAACTTCCATTTTGACCAATTACTCCTATAACAACTGAAATCAATACCAATATGTCTCTATCTCCTCGATAGTCGAGTGGTCTAAAGTGTCGGATTGTCTACACCGTATTGGTCAGTTGTATTAGTGTGTGAGTTCGCTCCCTACTTTCGACCATATTTTTTTTTTCAAATATTTTTTTTGTTTGTTTGAGAAATAATAGTTAAATAAACGTTTAACTATTTCTCACTCTTATTGCACAAACATTGCAATAAAAGATTAAAATATACAAGATAATATCTTGCCATTAAACTTACATAACATTTGCTTTTTGTAATTCAATTACAAGAAGTAAATTTTAATATGATATAAAAAAATACCGTTTCAATGCATTGATAGTTGAATCGCGGATATAGTTCGCAGCGCGACGCGTTTAGTTTATGAACGATGCTGTTGTTTTATAGTTTTGATAAATAAGTAAGCAGATACTTGAATATTGTTTCTTCTGAAATACATTTATCAAAACTATGAATGTTTAAAAGATTTTGCGTGTAGCGTGAAACTATTCGTCTTTGCAAACTTTGTAAAGGTTGGTTCATTGAAAAAAATAAAACAAAGATGGTGATTTTGTGTTATTTAGAGAAACTTCACAGGTAAAGTAAACGTAAGACCCATAGAAGAGGTATCATTGACCATTACGATTATTGATTGTGTAAGAGTCAAGAGTCTCCGTAGCGTAGTGGTAAGAACACTTGCCCATTGACCGGGAGGTCTGAGGTTCGAAACCTACAAATTGCCTAAGGTTTTTTTAATATCAGATAGTTATTACATGTTATACTTATAACACCACAACATCATTCCATTAATTGGCTGGTTAATTAATAAATAAATATAAATATTTAAATTAGCCCAAGAGTAAAGCATGTAGAACTACCGTAGAAAGCAAATGGTGAGAAGCAGAAGGGGAAGTAATCAGGTCGATACGTTGTAAGTATATATATCCAAGAAATTTCGCGGGAAAAACACGGACTAAAAGGGCAGTAACTGTGTAGTAACTGTGATAATTATCCAAACCTTTATACATTAAAAAGTATATGTGTACAAGTGTTGTTTCTTTTTTTACTTTAAAGCAAAATTGTTACAAACGATATTTTGAAGGTTTGTCTATTGTGTTTATTATAGTAGATATTGGTTCTGAAATTGAGTTGATTCGGTTGTTTGCTTGTATTTGAAATGGTATGCTGATGAGTGTTATTGTGGTTTATTACTGCATCGTGTGATTTTGTATTATTGTGGCTTAAGGTTAATTAATACGTTTTGTTGGAAATAGGTATTGAATCTGGTGATTTTTATTGGTTTGGAAGTGCTGATTTCGTTATTGGTTGATATATATAGGATTGTTTGGAGTTTTCTTTCGGATTAAGTTATTTGACGTTGACTTGTGTTTTTGGACCTTTCCGAGTGCATTTTGAATTTAAATGTAATCTACTGAGCTGTTAGATTGAACTTTATCAAAAGGAAGCAGAGAGATATTGACCATTCGATAGTTTTATGCAATAGACATGGCGTCATTTATATCTGAAAGAGAAATGAGGTTACGAAGAAGAGAAGCAGCTAGAGAAGAGGAGGAGAGGAAAAGAAAGGAACAATTGGAATTTGATTTGATGGAAAAAGAGTTAGAGATTATTAGAAAACAGAGAGAACAACTGAAAGCTGATACACAAAGAAAAGTATTAAGTCAAACAGGAAATATTGGAAGTACTGAGAATTTTGCTGGAAATGATAAAGATGAGGAGGAACAGAATGAAGTACTTTTCACTACTTTAGATGAATTTTAATTCGACCCACATGAGATAAGAAGTAACTCAAGCTTCTCAAATGAAATGGAAAATAGTAAGCATTTTAAGGAAGATGGAAGGAAAGAGTTATGGACTTATGGAACAACACAAGCTGTAGTTCATAATGAGGTTGACAAAAGTGTCATGGATCAATCAATAGAAAGTATGCTAAGTAAAGCAAGATTATCGAGGAAAGTTACAGATAAAACAGGTGAGGAACACATAAGAGATTTAGACGACAATAATGACAGAAGGTTTAGAGAAAGTTTGAAAAATGTTAAAGCTGATGGAAGAGATAGGATGCTTCAGTTGAAAGAAAGAGAAATAGATAGACAGTTAAGAGAGAAAAAGGATACGGAACAGAGACTAAAAGAGGAAGAATTATTAGATAAGGAAATAGAATACTACGAAGAAAAGTTATTGAGAAGGAGAGCACAAGATGAACAAGAGGCACTAGAGAGACGTTTGAGGAATGATATCGAAACGAATTTACGGAAGGAATATGAGCAGAAATTAAAGAATGAATTGAAGGAAATTGCAAGAAGAGAAAGTGAAGAAAGAAAGTACTTTGAAAGAGAAAAGGAAAGAAAGCAATTGAAAGAGAAGGAAAGACTGATGATGATGAAACGAGAAAAGCAAAGAGAAGAAGAAATGAAAATGATGGAAAGAATAGAGAGTTTGAAGAAGATTGAATTGGAAATAGATATGAGAAATAATGAGTTTGAAGGCGAAGACAGTGATAATGATATCGATAGAGATGTACAAGAAAGGATGGAACTTTTAAGACAGGAAATGATGAGTTTAGAAGAAAGAATACATATGAAGAGTAGAGATTGTAGAAATAAAGGGACATTATTTAAAGATAGAAACACAACAAGAAAGCCATGTGTATCATCAGGAACACCACAAATACCTCATTTTGATGGAACACAATTCGAAGAATGGAAACTCGAAGTGGAAAGTGCAATAGAATCGGGATTATATCAAGATTACGTTTTGGCACAGGCGGTGAGATCATCCGTAGTTTCAACAGCAAGAAGGGTGTTGCAAACATTAAGACCAGCAGCAACTACAAAAGAAATCGTTTCTAAAATGGAAGATATATACGGTAACATCAGAAGTGGAGACTCTATCATTCATGAATTTTACTCTGCCAAACAACAAATAAGTGAATCATGTTCTGAATGGGGAGTAAGAATCGAAACACTGTTTAATCAGGCGTTAGAAAGAGGAGAGATAGAACGATCTAGAAAGGATAGAAAACTAAAGGAAAGATTTTGGAGAGGACTTAAATCAGAAAAGATAAAATTATCGACAAGGACATCATACGAATCAGAGGATAGTTTTGATATTTTAAGACGGAAAGCTAGAATAAGAGGAGAGGAGAGGAAGTAATTGGAAAATTCGCCAAGGAGAGAACAAGAAAGGATTGGTTGTGTCAAATAAGAATGAAATCAAAGTATGAGTCAAACCATTAACAGAAAGTTGATAGACTCCAAAGAGAAAATGGACAAACTTTTTTGAAGAAACTGGAGGGATTTTAGGAAACGGGAGAGTTGAATGAACTAAAAGGATCAACAAGGATCGAGGATGGAGCGTCTGCATAGAACCTGGGGTCATGAGAGCTATACTTTCGCTCTGTGCAAGGCAGAAGGGATTGGTTATGACTCGAGAGGTGAGAATAGAGGGATATGACGATTTCAGCAGCAGTGAGGAGTACCGGTATAATGATAGACGAAAACAAACGGAATTACAAAGATTCACAATAGGAAAGGAGAAATTATAAAGAAAGCATAGAAGAATCCTCATCGTCAAATGAAATGCTGAAAGAAAATAAGGACAAAAAGGATGAGAAGAAAGATTTAAACTAGATGATGTCTCTGTTGAGGGGGAAACAGGAGACAAGAACAGAAACCCCTTTCATGAAAAATACATTTTTGATAGAATAGTGGGAACAAGCAATGAAAGTGAAGTTATTGTACATAACAAGTTGACAAAAGGGCTGATAGACACTGGATCAATGGTAACAACAATATCATCTACATTCTACAAATCCCTTAAACCAATTCCAAAGTTGCATTCCATGGACGACTTTGAATTAGATGTTAGATGTGCAAGCGGAGAAAGATTGCCGTACTTAGGTTATATTGAAATATGCATCGAAGTACCATCGCTTACCAAGATAGCTGTTCCAATTTTGGCTCTTGTTGTTACCGACACTGATTACCATCAACGTGTTCCACTTGTAATTGGCACTAATTTGATAAGAGAAATATATCAACAAACAAACCCTAAAGATAACACCAACTTACCTAATTCTTGGAATGTAGCCTTCCACGCTATAACAAGTAATTCAATTGGAGTAGTAAAAGCTACAAAAGATATTAAACTACACCCAATGGAAACGAAAACAGTTATAGGATTTGTCCGAAAGCAACATAACACGTTATCAGCTGTTACAGAACCACTGGAAAATGACTTTGAGAACAGAGTAACAGTTTGTCCCAGAGTCGTCACATTAAACAATGTAGGAAAGACAGCTCGAGTTCCAGTTCGACTGTGTAATATATCAGCAAAGACCATAACGATTTCTGCAAAATCAAATATATGTCAGCTTGAAGAAGTAAATGTCGTTCGAGAGGCTCCGATTTTCACTGATAACAAATCAAATGAGGACATCAAAACATCTGTAGAACCTGAAAAAGAAAATGAAATACATATGAGGAACATAGATATATCTGAAAGAGAAAACATGAATTATAAAAAGAACTTACCTCCATCCGTTGTAACTATACAGCAACAGACATCACCTGAAAAAGAAGAAGAAATAATGAATGAAAACGATGACATTCAACATAATTCAACAACAAATACTTTTGATGTAGACCTAGAAGATACCAATTTAACAGCAGAACAGAAAGAAAAGGTTTTCGATCTGTTTCGAAAATGGCACTGTATCTTTCCGAAGTCTTCAACTTCCTTAGGCCACACTTCAGCCGTGAAGCATATTATAGAGCTAACTGATAATACCCCATTTAAAGAGCCATATCGCCGTGTACCTCCAGCACTTTTTAACGAAGTAAGAGAACATCTACAGGAGATGTTAGACAGCAACACTATTAGAGAATCAAATAGTCCGTGGTCATCAAATGTAGTGATTGTCCGAAAGAAGGATGGGAAGATTCGTTTCTGCATCGATTTTCGAAAGCTTAACCAACGCACTAAGAAGGATGCATATGCTATTCCGCGGATTGAAGACACCTTACAGTTACTTTCAGGCTCTCAATATTTCTCTAAACTGGACCTCAAATCTGGTTACTGGCAGGTCGAAGTTCGAGAAGAGGACAAGGAAAAGACAGCATTTCAGGTTGGAAGTGGTTTAGGATTCTATGAGTGCAACAGAATGCCCTTTGGCTTGTGTAATGCACCTGCCACTTTCCAAAGACTGATGGAACGTTGTATGGGCCATATGAATTTGCGCGACTGCCTCATTTACTTGGATGATATCATTATTTTTAGCAAAGACGTCGAAACACACATCAAAAGATTAGATGCCGTTTTTGGAAAATTAGCTGAATACAATTTAACAATCAAGCCTTCAAAATGCGAATTCTTTAAGACACAGACAACATATCTAGGACACGTTATATCAAAAGATGGAATTCAAGCAGATCCTGAAAAGATACAAGCAGTAAAATCATGGCCAACTCCAAAATCTGTGAAAGAAGTACGTCAATTCCTTGGATTCTCGGGATATTATCGGAGATTCATCAAAGGCTTCGCGTCAATAGTTCGTCCACTCAACAATCTTCTAATCGGTCATCCTACAAAGAAACAAAAGTTAAATCAAAAGAAACCTGTAAAGAAAACTCCATTTAAGTGGGAAGATGAACACCAACTTGCTTTTGAAAAAGTGAAAGAGATACTTACCTGTCCTCCGATTCTAGCCTATGCCGATTACAGTAAACCATTCAAGGTTCACACGGATGCTTCTAGTGTAGGTCTTGGAGCTGTGCTGTATCAGAAGCAAGATGAAAAAGATCGAGTGATAGCATACGCCAGTCGGAGCTTGAAGCCATCCGAGAGGAATTATCCTGCACATAAGCTCGAATTTCTTGCTCTCAAATGGGCCGTGACTGAAAAGTTTCACGACTATTTGTATGGCGGGAAATTCGAGGTTGTGACGGATAATAATCCTCTCACTTATGTCAACACCACAGCCAAGCTGGATGCAACAAGTCAAAGATGGATTGCAGCTCTGGCTAACTATGATTACACGCCAACTTATAGAAGTGGATTGCAGAATGCCGATGCAGACGGTTTATCGAGACGTCAACATTCACTTACCCAGGAGACTGTTAAAGCATTAAGTCTTGCTGCCACAATTGATACAGGACCTTTCATAGACAACGTCCAACTCCCTAGTGATAACAACATAAGCACCTCAGATGTTCCAGCTGATGTCGTTCTTCAGAACTGCCTTTCTAATACTGACTGGATTAAGGCACAGAATCAAGATATTCTAATCGCGTACATCATTGATCACCTTAGGAAAGGTTCGATTCCGACTAAGCCGGACGGACGCAGATTTTCAGGGATTAATGCTTATGTGCGCGACTGGAATTATCTTATTCTGATGCAAGGAGTCCTGTACAGAAGACATCGAATCTTTGGTGAAGAGAGGTTGCAACTCGTCCTTCCAGAAAACCTGAAGGAAGATATTTTCAAGGCTTTGCATGATGACCTTGGCCACCAAGGTCGGGATAGGACGACATCTCTTATTAAAGAAAGGTTTTATTGGCCTGGCATGGACTCCTATATTGCTGGTATGGTGAGAAAATGTGGACGATGTTTGAGAAGAAAACACCTACCTGCTAAAGCACAACTCGTCCCGATACAGTCATCATACCCAATGGAAGTAGTCTGCATCGATTTTCTGTCACTTGAGAGATCAAAAGGAGGCTATGAAGACGTGCTGGTCATCACTGATCATTTTAGTCGATATGCTCAGGCGTACCCTACGAGGAACCAGACGGCAAAGACCACTGCAAAGGTTCTCTTTGAGAACTTTGTAGTTCACTATGGTTTTCCAGCACGGATTCATAGCGACCAGGGCCAGAACTTCGAGTCCCATCTAATCAAGGAACTCTGTCAACTTGCCGGTATCGAGAAGAGTCGAACCACGCCTTACCATGCCATGGGCAACGGGATGACCGAACGCTTTAACCAAACGTTGCTCAAGATGCTGGGGACCCTTGAAGATAATCAAAAGGCTGATTGGAAAGCGCATGTGCCTACATTAGTCCATGCCTACAATGCCACACATCATGAGAGTACGGGGTTCTCTCCTTACTATCTGATGTTCGGCAGACATCCCAGACTTGCCATTGATGCCTTCTTGGGTTTACCCACAGACACTTTGTCTGCCAGCAAACATTCAGAGTACGTGGTTAAGCTACATGAACGTCTCAAAACAGCATACGAAAAGGCTAGATTGATATCAAGTAAGACGGGTCAGCTCAACAAAGCAAAGTATGATGAGAGAGCTCGAAGTTCTGTTATCGCACCAGGAGACCGAGTTCTTGTCAAGAACGTTTCCATCAGAGGCAAACAGAAACTGGCCGATAAATGGGAACATGACCCGTATATCGTCATTAGCCAGCCTAACCATGACATACCTGTCTACCAAGTGAAGCGTGAAGGGGCAAGGTACAAGAAGACAAGAACGCTCCATCGTAATCTCCTTTTGCCTTTCATGTCAACCACGGATGCCATTGAAACAGATGATGACCCGGACACACCTGCCGAAGATCAGGTTGCAAACAATACTGTAAGGCCGTATGTTATTCCTATGAGACGATCTGCAGGCTCGCCAGGACTCCTTCCTTCTTCAAGACCGAAACGCACATCAAGAGCACCTGATAGATATGGATATTGAACCATGGCTTTATTCTTATTTCTCTCTATTTCAAGATATGTACAAACATGTATGGTAGTATTGTTTGATTCATATTGTTTGAATGATTTAGTGAGCATGATTTTCAAATGAGTGAATACTTTATGTAAGTGTGATTGTTTAAATCTGTTGTTCTCTATTTTGAATCAATTATGTTGATTTTTCTTTTTCAGAAACGTTGTAATACAGAGGCATATCTTGATGGTATTGATAGGAAATAAACATTGTATTAGTGCCATTAATTTGCAAATTTTTGAATCATTTCAGATGATCCAGAAAACATCAATTGTATGTGTGTGCCGATGACATTTTTCACTTGTAATTATCATTAATCATACCTGTTGTTTTTATTTGTCATTTCAGGACATGTGCTGGTGATTTTGTTAGGACACTATCCTGATCCTACTTCAAGTACAATTATTATACTTACTAGTACCGT